TTTGAATGAAGCTTGGTCAAATACAAGAGAATAAGATGATCAAAAATTGACAAGACAGTCTTCAACTAAAAGTTCTGGTCACACAGAAGTATTGCACTAATCGACTAGGAACTTGCTGCTGATTGGCCCAGACCCATCGGGCATTGCGGTGCCGTTCGAAAATTCACTCTGGAGGCATTCAATGTGATGCGGCGTCCGGTCTGATTGTGTATAATAATTCACAGAACGATTCGCTGAATTTATTTTTTTCGGATTGATCGATTTAAAGTGATGCCGATTTGGACACGACCGATGTCTGCATAACAGAGCATTGCTGAAAAACGACGCATGGTAGGTAATTTATGCTACCTGACATCCGATAACACATCTCTCCCCCCCCCCCCCCTTCTTCTTCCATTAAATAATGACATCAATATTGAACCATGTTGCACGAAAAACTATTGGTCTTTTACAATACATTTTTAAATTCAAATTTTTTGTTATAAACAATCAGTTCATTTAGCCCCTACCCCTTCAATTTTCGTCGATACAGTCCTGGAATTCTTTTACTCCGTAGAACTATCGCTTTAAACATCAAAAAAACTGTTTTATGGTAAAATTACAACTTCTTAACTGATTCAGACACTAAACGTTTCACTGACTTCATAAAAATTACTGAAAATTACTGAAGATAGTCTTTGAAATAGTCGTTTGTGTATCTACTTTCACGATTATTAGAAAGTCATAAATCACAACTAACGAATTGTCCAGAATGTCTACGAGTTGTAAATCATTAAACCAGTGGGTAGGAACTGTCCAGAAAATGTTTTCAACGAATTGTTTTTCATTGAAGCGGAAGCAATAACTGTTTGTTGAAATTTTATCTTGAAGATGGAAAGATGATCTATTGGAAGATTTGATAAACCATTATGAACAACTTGGCAGCCAATCTCACCAGCTGTTCATTCATTCATTCATTCATTCATTCATTCATTCATTCATTCATTCATTCATTCATTCATTCATTCATTCATCCACTCATCCATTCATTCATCCGATTACAAAAACTTTTTGGTATCTTTGAATTCAAAAACAAATATAAATCATTCATTCATTCAGCTCCGATTACAAAAACTTGTGTTTATTGAAAAATATAACAGCTTGGAGCCAATGAAAGGATTAAGTATATGAAGGGTAAGGGCAAGAGTTGATGTTGTCATATTTGTCTGGCAATGAAATAGTAATCTCACGATTGGGGCTAGACATTGAGATCGGGTCCAGAGAAATCCCATTGTTCCGAGAGCCCATAGCATCTCAGTCCGCCCCTACATTCATTCATTCATATTAATGACTTCGACATGTATTCCATTCAGTCGTGTTTCGAGTAAGCAATATATCTGTCAAGTGTGATGTATTATTTCCACAGGGCACGACAAAACATATTTATAGGTACCCCTTCCAGGCAAAATATTTAGAACTTGATTTCGTACTAGGCGGGGTCATATTGAAGTGGCTTGTTATATACGATTCGTTCAGAAAGGACGTTTCGAAAAAGAGATCAATTTTAATTTCTTGCAAGGATTCCTAATAACAGAACATCGCACGTATCTGCGTTTTCTCCTCTGAGTATTGGAACATTTCTAGCGTTTATTTGAATAATTCAGATTTCTCGTCCAACGGCAGAAATAAAATATACTTGATGACGAGATTATGACGTCAATAATGCACATATCATTTGGTTCTCGAATGTTTGTTACGGTAATGACAACATCAACTGTTTCAGTGTTCTTGAATTTCGGGAACATCAAGTTGTAAACATTAATTTTGAATTCTGAATGGTGCACAATGAAGCTATGAGTGTTCCATTAATTCAGGTACAACACAAGAGCGACGCTCTGTTACAGAAACGAGGCTAGTAGTTTCATTTTGTCATCACTTGCATGTTTTCGTTCATGTTTAGAACAACAATATTCAATCGTTATGTTTTTTTTAACCAATTGATTTATAAGAGAATATACGTATAAATATACCAATCAGGCCACGTGTGAACCGAATATATAACGATTTTACTACAAGAGATTGTTGGGAAGTAGTAATAAGGTAAGTGCAAAGAAGAATTTCTGGTTTGGATGGGTCAGTTATTGACCGTTAATTGAAGCGTCTTGCTGAATTGAGTAGCCGTACAAGTTCAGATTTGATTTTTGCCCATCATGATTTAGACTACTATCTAATTTAAAGGTTTCTTATAGACTTATCGCATTCATTTTCAGGATAAGCTTGTCGAGAATTTGGGACTCCAGTAACACCATGACATGTATTTTATCTTTTAGTTGTCTTAACTGTGGGCTTTATCAGCAGATAGCACTCCATTTAAGCTATATGTATCACTTTTCGGAGTTAAAATCTGACGTCAGGTTCTCCTACAATTCTACTAAATGTACTTGACCAATTTACTTCTGGCATACAGGATTTAATATCCATTTATACTATCTGTTTTAACGGCATACACTCGATCTACAACACCGTGGGAAAAGAAAGACTTTTTATTGTAAAATCTGGCACGTTAAGTCAGTTAAATTCCACAGAGACAGATATAAGATCATTTTGTTGAATTCAAACTAAAACCATTCCTACTAGTAGGCCTATAGATGATGAAAACTTTCAGGGTTCTGGTACGTACTTTTTCTCGACTTCATTGAATTAATATTGGAAATTAGAATGCAAGTAGGTGGTCTTACAATCCGTTTTGTTAGTAAGGGTTCCTACACATGACATACTTTGATCGGTTTAAAAGAACGTCATTAGACGTAACTGTGGTGGAAAACGTGTCTGGTTACAATGAAGAAAAAAAATATCAAGAAAAATTCACGAAATTGTAACCTAATTTTAATTAGATTGTAATTTTAACTGAATGATTGTGTCGACTCAAAAATGGCTGTTGAATGCTTTAATCGATATAATCTGTAATTTCAGGCACTGACAAGTGAGATTGGACGACGAATATTGGTGGCGAACATCGCAATGTAATGTAGACAAGTAGATGCATGGGATTGTGAAGCAGAGCAAAGAGCAATGCATGGAAATTGACATAAACAAATGTTCATGTTTCAAACGAATTGAATTACATTTTGTAAATAAATGTGTTTTCGTTACGGGTATATCTATAGCAGTTTTATAACACCGGACAATGACGTGGACATTAGAAATTTGATGCTAATTAGTTATTGTATACGTACAGTGTGAGCGGTGAAAAGCCCCATTATTGACACCGGAGAGTTGAAGTGTCTTTTATCAAGGTTATATAACATAACTGTTGGTGGTAATGGGATCTCTGACCAAATACATATACTCCTTATACTAGACCAACAGACTACTGACCACTACTACTATAGTATAGTCATATTTATCGATTGGCCGGAGTTGGTATGGTCCATTCACCCTTGACCTCAGCTATTCATTGCTTGATTACGCTGACGTTTTTAATACAAGGAACCCGTTAGACGACTGTGTGACTCATTCAAGTGGACAATTTGTGTGGGTTTTTTTGTGATAGTGATCGTAATTCTAGCAAGTGACTCTTTATACATGAAGATCGGACTCTATAATCGGTTTATTATCAACGTGTTGCAGACTCAAACATTTCCAACCTTGAAACTTTAACTGATTGCTAATGTGATTTGGAACTGGTTACAAAGGAAAACTGAATATTGCAATGAAGCAGTGCTATAGGCCTACTGGTGAATATAAATACGTTATACGCAACTTAGTAACATTGTGTGCATATTTTAATCATTGATTGGTAGCCACCTGTGGCGAATGTTTTTACATGCTGTTGCAGATAAGACATTTTAGTTAAACTGTCGCAGTGGAACTCCACTTAGCAAACGTAACATTGAAACGTCATAAAGAAGTCGTCGCAGTGAAATAAAATAAAAGCGCCATAAATTTCCGTCACAAAGAAGCATTCAATGACTGTGATACAGAGAAACAGCTACAGTGAAATGACGTCATAGAAAGGCTGGTGTTAAGAAAATTCAATGTGAAGCATTTTGATATTTTAAACCATTGTCACAAGCAACCAATTCATTTATAAGAATTTTTTTTTAAATTAGAATGTTTTATTAATTAGACGTCAGATTAACAACAAGACGCAAGGATTATCCCCTTGGCCGCAAGCTTAATCTGCGTCTGCGACTCATTATTGACGTGAAGTAATCATTGTTTTAATTAAGAATTTGTAACTATTATAACTTAATCAGGCTACCCTATTGTTAATTACGATTTTCATTGTCTTTTGTGAAATTTTAATACCGTTATTGTCTTTGTAAGGTTGAAAGGTGTCGCTAGTTACCAAGCATCACGTGTCATTTTAAAATACAAATATAACGGTCAACCTACCGATATTATTCATTGTTTAGATATTATCTTCGCATCATAAACTTAGTATATCTCTATATACTCTATTTATCTTATATCAATCTAGCCTTGTATCTACAACTGGGTGTAAATTGGGTCATGTAAGAACTTAAATTGGATGTAAATTGGGTCATGTAATAAAAAGTAGGTTACGTTGCAAATATTTTGTATTAGTTTGAATTAGTCAATTGATTTCATGATACTATTTACAAATGTTTTTTATTCTGTTATAAACTGATAGCAGTTGTGTAGTTTTCATTTATGATTTGATCGATTTTTTGTATTAATTTATTATGTAGGAGGGTCAAGTTGCAACTATTCTGTATATAGTTAAGTTACATTGTAGCTATCGATATTTTGTTATATATTATAATTGCTATACTTTATAATTTACATTATTCGTAAATTCATAATTTGTATGTATGGTAACGGATCCATAGCTGTCATTTAAGTTCAATATATTTCAAGATAACCATACTTTGAGAAAATATCTTTGTATTCTAGTGCATCAATGAAGAGTTACACTGTGTTCATATTGGGTCACATTTTTTCATTGAACCCATTTCTATTGTTTTCAGTTCCATACTTTGTTAACATCACCTATAATGGAGCATATCATACCAGAAAAATTCATCAAAATGTGCCGGCTCCTGGAAATAACCACCTTTCCAGTTCATTGGAAATTTGAGGAGAAAGACCAACAGATTGTGGTAACGTTCATTTGGAATATCGGTTCCTCGGAAATTTTGAATCCACAAGACACTCCAAAGGCGGACTCGACGGTCGCCTTTGAATCGAAGAGAGAATCCGAAATTCAGAAACAAGATTTGCATTTGGTTTCAAAGAAAACAGCATCACATCAATCGCCTCTCAAGTCAGAAACTCCGGACGAAGACGCGAACAGTAAAGACAAACGAAAAAGTGCAAGTTCCTCGAGGACCACCTTGCCTGCTGCTTCTACTGACGATCGGAAATCCATAACGACGAAACATAAAGAGAAGAGTGTTAACAACGAGGACGGGGTAAACTATAACAGATGCGAAAAGACTCCCAATGATTCTAGTACAAAACAAAAGCACATAAGTGGCAATGCAAACGTTTGCTTGGTAAAGACCAACGAATTAAAGAAGTCAGATGCCCCAAAGCCGCACAAAGAATCAAGTACCAAACATCGACACTCATCTTCGGATAGTGAAAGAAAACGAAACAATTCTAGTTCGAAAGACACCACTAAGGGGCTTAGTAATGCTCCATCTTCTTGCGATCCGAAACGTAGACATTTTAGTTCTAAAAGCAAAAGTACCTCGTCTAGTGGTGAATCTGCAAATCCAGAAATACGATCAAACATCGAAGTGAATAAACAAACAGTCAATTGTGAGGATACTAAGATCACGAGACCACAAAACAGAAGCGCTCAATGTGTTACACCGGAAGTGAAAAATAAAGAATCGAGACACAAAGAATCGAGTATACGAAAAGAAAGCAAATCCAAAGATTCTAACTCTCAAAACGATAAGAATCATAAAGAGAAACACATGCCAGATGAAAAGAGACACGTAAAACCGAATTCACGAGATCAAAAGAAACATACTGAAGCGAGTTTGCGACATTCGAAAGAAATTCACGAATCACAATCTTGTTATGGTAAGATTAATACAGACCCACTATGTGAAATGTCGAAGAAAGTCCCGAGTTCTCGATGTGAAAATACTCACATAGAATTGAGTTCGCGATGTAAACAATCTTCTAAAGAATCGAGTTCGGAATGTAAACAAACTCCAAAAGAATCGAGTTTGCGATGTAAACACACTCAAAAAGAACCGAGCCCACAATGTGAACAAACTCTCAAAAAATCGCGATGTAAACAATCGTCCACAGAATTGAATTTGCAACGTGAAAAATCTTCTAAAGATCTGAGTTCCCGAAGCGAACCCAAAGACACACTAAGTAACAAAACGCTCGATGAATCGAGTTCTAAATGCGAAAAAATATCCAAAAGATCGAGCTCGATATGTGAACATTCCCCCAAAGATTTAAGTTCGAGGTGTGAACCGAAGGATTCACTTGAGGATTCGAATTCTCGATGTGAACAAACTTCCAAGAAATTAAGTGTGCAAAATGAAGAAACTGTGAAAAAATTTCCTTCTGAACAAACGAAAAATATACCTACAAACCGTGAATCGAAAACAGAAAGTAAACAAACTCCAAAAGATTCAAAATCGCCACGAGAAAAGATATCTAAAGAAACGATCTCTGCAAATAGCAAAACAGGAAATACCGTGAAAAAGATGCCTTCATCCAGAGACCAAAATAAGCAGCCCCAAAAGTGTTATGTTAAAACAAATGAGTCTAAATCAAAGGATGCTACAGTGAATTCGCAAGAAAAACACAGAAACCTAGAAGGAGGCAACAGTTCTCCAGACAAAGCAACAGATTCAACAAGCTCAGGACTATCGAAAAGAAAGACACAAAACGAATTCACCACAGACGAACAATCAAAGAAACCAAAGACAGACGCCAATATACAATCATTAGGTCAATCTACGAAAATAGGAACTCCAGAAAAACTGTCAGAATCTATTAACCAATCCCACAGTAAAGAACCACGAGAGGAATCGAGCATATCAATATCTTCTGAGACCGCTCAAAAAACATACACTGTACCCGATACACTAAATAGATCCACCACATTCTTACCAAAGAACGACTTATGGGAGATGTTCATCAACCGATGTAAGGTAAAGACAGATGTTACTTTTTGTGACCCATCAATAAAAGAGTCGGTTATTGGTATCGTGGATCCCGACGCCAATATTTGTGCACAAAAGGGCATACAGACTACCATGAAAGGTGGTAGCAAGACCAAACAATCGACAGAAGAGAATAAGAAACACACTAGAATACCACCAAAAGACAGAAAACAAGACAAGTCAAAACCAGACAGACAATCTACAACTTGTAGTCGGCTAAACAAAAAAGAGTCCACAGCATCAAAAGTAAAGAATACCACCAAGACCAAGACTGAACCGTCTAAAACGTCTTCCAAGTCTTCTACTGACAAGATCTCCGTCTCAAAGAAGCCATTAAAGGAATTGACCACGAAGGTTCCGCCATCAAGATCAAATGACACTAAAACAATTAAAACATTGCCTGTTCCAAAGGAAACATCCAAAGAACAAGACACTCCATCAAAAGAGCGTGCGATAAATGTGGTAAGTGTCTCGGAATCTAAAGATCTGTGCGAGGACATGGACCTCTCGATTGAAGCAGCGGTAACTGATACTGCTGAAGTTGAGCATCCCAAAGAGCCCCATCATGCTGATCCTATTGACTCTGACGACAGCTTCACAGAATTGAAGATAGATTTGGATTATGACGAATCAAAGAGCAGTAAACATGAAGAGGAAAATCTCCGGATAGACAAAGAATGTCAACCACATACATGCGCTACAGCCACGGGAGTCCAAGAATCAAATCAAGAAATGCATGAAAATCCTCCACTTGTCATTTCTCGGTGTGAACCCAAGGATGATAGTTCTCATATTGATGAAGTGACTCCAGTAGGCAAAGAAGATCCAGCAATCACTGCCACTGAAAGTAACTCTCAAGACACCAATACCTCAAAGATACAGAACCCAACAAGTGAAGATCGCAACAAAGTATCTGCATCTTCTGACCAGAAAATTTCACAGAATGAAATTCCTAAAAACATGCCACAAGAGGAAAGGATTCAAAACAGCAACCCAGATAAAGATAATATTGACAGTGACAAATTGGAGAAAAGGGAGATTTCAAGTAACCAACCAGAGGTAAAGGAAAGCGCTAGTGGCATATTAGATAAGGAAGAAATTGACAATAGCAAACAGAAGAAAGAAAAATTTTCTACAAACAAATTAGAGAATAACAGTATTCATAATAACGTTGCCAAAGAAAAGGAAATCCAAAGCAAATCAACAGAAGAGCAACTATGCACCAATCCAGTACAGGAAAAAAGTGTGCTTAATAACAGCAACAATCAGGAGAAAGCAGAAGTTGTCGACAACGATTTAGAAGAGGGAGAAATAGAGGATGAAGACATAGAAAGGGATAGACCAAAATATGATCAGAACAAGAACACGAATGTGGTTACTGGCGGGACTGTTTTTGACAATGTTCTTTTGGCCTATTCACCAGTATCATCAATTGAACCTCAAACTGACGAAGAACCATTAGGCATTCTTGGCAGTAATGATCCTTTTGATGATGCATCCTCTCCAAAATGTCAAGTCGGAAATAGAACTAAGTTGGTGACGACAGCACCAACAGCAGACGGAATTCAAACACCGTCTTCATACAGCTTTCAAACCGAAGATTTAGAAGGAGCTAGTAGGGCCAGTACCCCTCTTTTAGATGAAATGAATGGTTTCAAGGTACTCGAGGATTCGGGATTCAGAACCGTAATATTACCAGTGTCCCAAAGTCCCCCAAAACAATGTTCACCAGTTAAAAGTCAAGTGACCATTCCTCGCAGGAAGAAGAGAAAAGGGAAAAGGAAGTCAATAAGTTCGGAAGCTGAGCTGATGAATATATTCCAAGGAGAAAAACTATCAAAACGAAAGAGTTCTCGACTGCGGAAAAAACTTCAGAAGCAACTCTCAAAACTATCCGATTCTGGTCACGAAGATATAGAAGGAAGGATTAAAAAAGAGCAGAAGAGAGCTAATCAAGGCCCTGAATTATGGTCGCAACCAGAGGCCAGGGGAACCCAGGAACATTCTACCCGCAAGAAAAGACATGTTACTGATTGGGATAAATTATTGCAGAAACATATACACGAGAAGAAACGACCAACTCCGACAGATACGAAGACAGAAGACTTGAAAAAGAAAATTGACAATTTCCTGATAGAAATTGATTTGAAGAACAACAAAAAATGTTCCGGTACGTTTCTAACACCAAACCAAACGTACAAAGAGACACACAAAGTACATCAGCGACCAATGACGGTATCAAAACAAGTTAACTTTGGAAATCTTTTTGATGTCCAGTCATATACGAGTGGGAATGGCGAAACATTTTTTGATGAAAGAGAGCAGATTGAACACGATTCTTTAATGGACTCTATCATCATATCATCAACGTACAAGGAAGAAGAGAAAGAAAAAACATCTAAGAAGCGGAAGCGACATACAGATGGTTCAGATTCAGAGACAGACCCAGGGAATAGAAAGTTACAGAGAACCAATTCCAGAAGTCTTCCGAGAATGAACAGGGATATAGCTATCCAGCAAAGGAACAATCCGGATACTGGACTCCATCAGTACCTCTTTCTCTTTGAAGACTCCCGTCCTTGTACATGGATTGACAGCGACGAGATCCAGGAACACAATCCCCACTTCTATAATTCACTGAAGAAATGTTTTGTTCCCAAAGAGGGTTCTCAAGAACAATCTGAGCTGCAACAGAAATTATACAATCTCGTCGGGTTTCCGTCGTGAGCTTGATAAAGTATCACCTTATATTGATGATAACTGGTTCTCTCATAGGATTGAAAGGATGTGAACACTTCCACAAGCCCTGTTGCTCAGAGTCTGATGAGTGAGAGCGATTTCGTGAACCAATGTTGCGTATGAGAATGCCTGAATTGATTTATGTCGTTTTGTGATAAGCTTGTTTACATAGATTATAATGCTGGTATAAGCGAGTGTTGTCAGGTCATGAATGCTGCGGTTGTGTCAAACATGATCCACTCTCAGTGAGTTCAGTATGCGAATATGAGTGAGACATTGTATCACATGTATGATCTGATGTTGCATGTATGTGTTCGCATGTCACTGGTGTTAAGATTCAGATTGTTGTAAACTGCCAGATTGTTATCGTAAAGGGATACAGTCGTTTAAATATTTGATTAACCTAAACACTCGACGTAATATCAAGATACGAGATATATCGGCTATGCTATTTACACGAACTCGAAGTTTAATTTTAATTCCGAAAAGAAATTCAGATCGCTATAATTCCGTGCTATCAGATAGCAAGATGAAGACGACTGTTTCCCTTTGGTCCCATTATTGTTAGTCCAGAAAGCATTATGTGCGATAAATATAATGAATTGTTGTTGTTTAGGCAGAACTTGCTTTCAGTTTTCCTGAAATCAATGAATGTTCGATTCGATACTCCTCTAAAATCATGACCGCTTTTTGAATAGTAATGCAATACTGGATTGATGGCGCCCCTACTTCTAGAATCTTGATGAGGCATAAGAAGTTGGGTTTCATGAAGGACAATAAACATTTTAATTCACGGAAAACTGGACCAATTAAAGTGCCTTTCAGAACATTTTCTACTTCCTATAATAGTTGTTTTGTAATTTGATATTTTTAGTTATATTGTTGCATAATTTGTTAAATTTTTGTTAAAATTTTGAATCTTGTCTATGTTATTTTATGAAATATTTAGGCGATATGTGTGCAGAAAATTATCAGTTGCTGTACTACGCCATGAAGACATTTTAGATCGAATACGATATTCCTTTAAGTCACAATGCTACAGAAAAGGACTTGACGATCTGACGATCTTATCTACCAGCTGGAAACCTCTTGATATTGATCTTTTCGGAATAACCATACAATTCTAATTTAATTTCCTGTTCCTCAGACCAATAACCCACCAAATATCTAGCACAAAACACGACCGTGTTCGCTTATTGAACATTCATTGAAAAATTCGAGGTCTTGAAACAAGCATCTGTTTTCATCGAAGCTGGCACTCGTGGTTATCAGCCCCACGCTTAAAATCACTTACTATATCGCACTGGAAATCACAGTATCGCATTTAAAATCACTGTATCGCATCCGAATCTTTTCGACATGAACACTATGGTTTCATGCGATCACTATCTATATAAATCTGAAACATGACACAATACACCAAAATGTTACAGTTTACAAAACCATACAACATATACACGCTGATTGTCAAACTCGTCTTTGTTTTTATACAACAAAAAACACGATGGCAACTGTTTGATGTTAACTTTTGAAAAACAAACAGAGCAAGTAAGGGTTAACGTTCACGGTGCGGAGGTTCTTGTTTTATTGTTACAGGTGGCGTAGCTAGCGTTAACTAAGATCGTACATTACGATTAGAGCTGTATTGTACATGTCATATGCTGTATGGTTATCTAAATGATATTACGTGTAATAATGTGTTATCATGCCTTATTATCAGTGATAATGGCCCGTTGACAAGAGTGATTCTCTTTTAGGGAGCAACCCCTTATGTCGGTGTTATTGTAATGCTTTTGAAAAAAAGAACGAAACGACAATTTTGTACGAGGATAACAACTCCGGATCACGAAGTTCCTTTCTACCAGCTGGTCATTGGCCAAACCTCTTGGCATTGATCTTTCCTAGATTACGGTTGAGTCGACTGAAATAAAGAGGAAAGATGACTTATTCAAGGTCACCAGACTTTGGATAAATTCGGAACACAGGGGATAGAATAATTCATAACAGTGCTAAATTCTGCTAAAATTCAAAGGAGCAATTGCTTCCTACATTAAGTCTCTAAATTTCACATAAAGCTTAAATATTGTTAAATAATTTGTTGTAAACAAAACAGTAAAATCCGTTCAAGAGACGTTTATCGAACAAGATTAGCCTCTGATAATTCAGCAATTTAATTTAACGATACATTAAAATCCCCCTCTATCACATTTTTAATTTAATAATTTCTCCACCCATTCTCCAGTTATTTAATTTTAATATTTTATACCGTTGAATGATGATACTTACAACTATGTATCCAACTATGTATCCTACTATGTATCCAACTATGCATCCAACTATGTATCCAACTATGTATCCAACTATGTATCCAACTATGTATCCATCTTTGTCATAAAGTTTAGTCCAGTGACAATGAATGCAATTGTTAAAGATGACTTTTTTATTGCTCTAATAACTAATAGCGATTTTCTATTTCAAATTCATTACAAAAAGATATTTTTAATATCAAATTATTGAGAGACCAAATATTAAAATAACACAAAATTATAGCCCTATAATATATCTTTTTTGTTCACTGACAATTCGAAATCGGAGACATTTTTACGACTTAAAAGCTAAATATGAAATAAAAATTGATTGAATTCGCCTTCCAATAATATAATTTCTACAAATAATTGATTCATTCAACCATGAGTGAACATTACCAAATTTAACCAAAGAATTATTTTCTTCTGTATTATTCTTCCACCAACAAAAAACCAACACCTGTTTTTTCGTGAACGTGACAGCACGTGGTCACCCGCCGTGGCATCAAGTTGAATCCAAATCATTTTAAAGGGTGTCGAAGGTCCTCCCTTTGTTTTGTTCCACAGAACAATGGACTAGGTTATAAAAAGTTATTATCATTTATCTTTTAGCTCAAGCCTGATAAGCATCGCGTGTCTGACCTCTCAAAATACTAGGGTCAGGCACAAACTAACGAAAGATAACGCGTGTGTACGCGTGACTTGAACACATAACATTGCGCGCTCGTGAATAAGTTCTACCTGAAGTGTGATCGAACTGTATTTACCTTTTCTAATGAAGAGTATCGATTTTTTAAAGGGAGATAAAAATGCTAAAAAGAATGGTACTTAATTTGACGTTAGTCTATTTTCACATACAGAGTAAACTGAACAAGTCTTATGCGGATGTCATAAAGGGATTGTGAAGAGTTTTTTCTAAAAAAAATTATGTGTATTGGGGACACTGATAGCATCAATTTGCTATCATACGTTTGTGGATCCTGCAATTCCACTAAAACTAAATGTACTAGTTACACAATCGGTAAGGACCTTTTGTGATTAATCATATTTTGCGATCCATAAAATCATCAAACACTTTGATTTTTAGTGACTTTGCATCTGATTTTAAATTTGGAATGGTGCAAATTGATGCTATCAGTGTCCCTGATACACATACAAATTTAGAAAACCACCTTTCGATCCCTTTAATTCAAATCTGACAAAAAGACTGCCTGTTGTAGTGATTGGATAAAGAACCAAAATCCATTATCAAGTAGATGTTATAATTAAGAACACTTTTAAAATAGAAAATATTGGGGGAGTTTATTTTATATTCCATCACAATTGTTGATTTCTGTAATAAGCTTTGAGAGAGCTTTTAACATCCAATATGTATATATTTATACTGATGATAAAAAGTTCGTTCCAGTTATAGGCAGTCGTGCGTGGGTGGAAGAATGAAGTGCATTTCATCGGAAAGAACACAGAACATAATCTATAATCTAATCTATACAACCCCGGTTCCCAACCTGTGGTGTTTTCACCCTCACCCCCTGGGGTGTGGGACTATGGTGTCAGAGGTGTGACCAACTGCTGTAGGAGAAGAATTCATTTTAAATTGATAGAGCACCTCACATCATCACATGCTGAAAATGTGGATGATGGAAATTTTTGGGGCGTGAAAGGTCTAAATGATTGGACCAGCGAAGGCTGAGAAAGATTGGGAATCACTGATCTAGAATAATGGACCAACTTGGTACAATTTCTTAAATGTTTGAATATCCTTGTTGGCAGTATTTTATTCTAGAAACTTAAAATCAGACAACAGCTAAAACGTTTAATTATGATGATCAAAAAATAGTTTAAGTCTTTAAGAAGCAAATTCCCATGTGTATGCCAAGAGACTCGTGACCGTTTAAGACGAAACACTAAGTCCTTGTCAGAATCCTTGCCGCTTAGATATTTAGAATGGTCCTTGAGTCTACAAAATCATGAGCATAAAATGCTTTCAGTTTATATTGTCACGAAGTCGTTGGTCAGCAATCTGCGGGGAAAGTTTAAAAAGTATGTATTGAAATAAGGTATTTTACAGATAGAATGTCTGTGTTCGGAAGCCGCCACTTGAATTTAAAACCATTGTCTCTTGTTAAAGACTTCATTTTCTGAGTGAGTCAGAGAAGTTTTTCACTACATCGCGTTCAACATAAATACTAACTAATTTTAAAAAGCTCTGTAAAATGTCAATGACAACTCAAATGGAGTTAAAGGTGAAAAATCTTAGATATTCTGTGGAAGAAAAAAAAAAAACAATTTGTCAATGTTTTAGAACTCACTGCTTCTATGAAAACTAAATCGGATTGTGAAAAAATTGTTTTCATCAGTTTTGATAGCAGAGGGTTTCATTTCTATTCACTATTTTTGTTGCCATACATATTTATTCCAGGCCATCCAAAGATGATGTTTATGCATGAGCTTGTTTTTGTATATGGACACAAGCCAGATGCCGTTAGTAGTCGTAAAATTGGCTGAAAATTGAAATTTTTTAAAGGTGCTGTTGATTCAATGATCACCCTGAAAACGGTTGCCGTTCATAACAAGTTCGACTGTATTTCTCAATATCTAGATCGTCTCGAAATATGATTTAATCTTAATGCTATGTCATATGTTTTATTGTACAAAACTTTGCTTATTTCGCAGCATAAT